AACAGGCAAAGGGACGCCCCCTCAATCACTCCTACGAACAGGCGCAAACCATCCACTTCTCCGGAAAGAAAAACTTTTCCTTTTCCCTTTCCTTCTTTTTTTTTTCCTTTAACTGTTTTTTATTACATGCTTGTATCAAGGTCTGGCCACACTGTCCACAAACAAAGTCGAACCGGTACGAATTTGGTGAAAAGTCGAAGGTTCGTCGAACCGGTTCGACCCAGTCGAACCGGTTCGACGGGTTCGACCGGTTTCGGGGTTCTACCCAGTCGAACCCCGAAAGTTCGACCAAAAATTCTGGTTCGACAAAAGTTCGCGACACCCCTAGTCCGCTCTTTACCTTGTGCATGATCTCTATGCCTTGTGAATGACGTGAGTGCACCAAGGGGGTAAAGGTGGGTGAGGAGGAGTGGCAAATCCCGTGCGCCGACACCCGGGGTCCCGAGTGAACGATCGCGAAAGAGAGCGACAGAACACGAGAGAAAGAAAGCAACGTTGCCATGGTAAACGCCACTGATCTCAATGACAATTGCTGGATCGCGCTTGCCGCTCCCGCAAGTGAAGCCGCCGGACTTCACTCGCTTGGGATACGATTTGCCGTTTTTGCTAGCCTTTGCTACGGTTTTCCAGCGTGCTGTGGACACGTTTTCTACTCGTTCGTCGTCATTCGCCGAAGAAGCTTTTTGAAGACTCTGTGTATTGTTGAGACTTGCCGTCGTGAACACGTGGAAAATTTTACGAAAGTGCAGTGTCGCAGGAAAAAGGCACAACGCGTCGAAAGGAAGGGCTGGCGGCGTCTTCAAAGCTTCCTTGGCACGCCGAAGTGCTGTGTCTCTGTGCCTTCGCACGCTTGGATACCGACCAAGAATCGACGCCGTGTGGATGTGTTTTGCGAGTGCAATGTGCGTGAAGCCGTATCAAAAGGTACAACTCGTCGAAAACAAGTGTCGCCGGTGTCGCGGCGTGATCAAAGCTTCCTTGGCACGCCGAGTGATGCATCTTTGTGCCTTCGCACGCTTGGATACCGGTCAAGAATTGACGCCGCGCCAAAGTTATGAACGTGTGTCGCGCGTAGAAGCCTTTAGATCATGTATATATATCGGCCACGGAGTTCTGGATCGTCCAGCTGTTCCGGTGAGTTGCTATCAATAAAAGGGGGAGATCTGTACGTGTTCTTATGTACTATATTAAAGGGACACTGACACCCCCCAAAATTTTTTTTTTATTTTTTGCCAGGCGCTTCATTATGGTGTCGGAGGACTACCCAATTAATATTTTGCAACAGAGTAGCGTATTTCTTTATTAAAGCCAAAAGACGCAACTGCTCGAAACCGAAACCCGACGGTGGTCGGAGAAGTGGAGAGAAGAGAGCGACTGGCGGAAGTCACGTGGCTACACCCGACCCTGCGTTTTTTTTGTTTTTTTTTTTTTTTTCTCTCCGGTAGCAGACGACACGACATGCGGCGTGCGATGCGGCGTGCGGGAACTGCTTGCCGTGCGATTCTTTTGCAGTTATGTTTGTTCCGCTCGTTGTTCTGTACTCCAAGATGAGTTGTTTTGTACATTGAGGAGTCGGAGATGAGTAGTGAGTGCCCGTGGTGAATTTCCATGATCGGCTCCGAAAAGAATAAACCCAAGATGTTGCGTGAAGAGCTGGCTCACATGTCCTGCATCCGAAACAAAGTGGCATTGTGCGACAGAGTTTCCGAAAGATCAACGGGATCGGGACCAATGGCTGGCTGCAATTCCTGTAGAACATTTACGGGCACCTCGGAAAGCGGACGCTACCCGATTTATATGCTCCTTGCATTTTGTGGAAAGTGATTACATTGAGTTCGCAGGTGTCAAAACGAAAATCCCATACCGTTTAATTCAGCGAAGTATCGTCCACAACATTTGTTTGTTATTTTTTTGTTCGTTTCTTCAGTGATGATTGTAAAAAAAAAAAAGAAAAAGATATGTAAACATCAAAAAATGTTTGAAAAAAAAAAAAAATTCACGGGGGATCGAACCCGGCCCTACCGCGTGTGAAGTCGACGTCTTTCCCACTGAGCTACTGGGGCTACTCGTTTCTGGTGGATCTCTTTCCTTAGTAATAATTCAGCCGGTAAACTGTAAGTTGGAAAGTTTGCTGTCCATTTTCTCTAGCAAAAGCACTCCCGGGTCGAAGTCGGGAAGCACCACGCTTTGGGGACATTCGCACCTAGTAAAGAAATCGTACGTGTGCATATTCAACTCGAAGTAGACACGTCGTGCTTGACGTTTGCGCGAGCGTTGTCTTCAGCCCCCAGAATGGAGCGACGGCTCGGCGACGTCTTCGTGGAAATCGGCTTGGCGGCCGGGCGTGTCGTACGGGATGAATACCAATTCTTTTCATCAGTCCCAAATTTCTCTTTTAACGGTAGACAGAATTCGCCGGTACCGCGAACGACAGTTCTGAAATAGAGGTCCCACGCCCGTCGTCCGCTGCCATCGCCGTCCCCGCGAGTCCCACGATACGCGAAACGACGAACGCACAGAATGCTTCCGGTTGTCTGTGGATCTTTTTTTTTTTTTTCAATCAACGTATTTACAGCTTTTTAGAAGCCACAAAAAATGGGTTTCATATTTTTTTCTTAAACTTCTTAGTGAGCGCGTTGGTAATGATGTAGGTTTAGAAAGAGTTATATACGTAAAAACAGGGGACGGGACAACACATCTTTCAACTTTCAACAAACAAATGAATTTATTGCCGGACGCTTCGCCTTCGGAGCTCCACTATAGGAGAGGGAAAGTTAAAAGGAGGGGGAAGGGGAAGGAGGGTGGGGGGGGGGGGGGGGCCAAGACAAGGACTTGGGAGAAAACTGTGGGAAAGGACAGCGGAAAGGAGAGGAAGGAAGGAAGCATCCCGATTTCCCTCTCAGGAGCAAGGGGCGCTCGCCCGGCCCGCCAAGGCCGTCAACTCCGGTCTCAGGAATGTAACCTCTCTCTCGGACAGCGACAACGAGGCCGAGGAAATGTTCTTCGGCGCCTCTTTTATGGCGAACGCCTCCACGATCTCGCGCCCGTAGCGGTTCTTGTTGGCCCCCAGAACACGCGCGGACGGGAACTCGGGGGCGCATGGAGCGCAAACCTTGAGGTGATGGACCATTGGGTGTTGGGAGTCCTCGTCGTTTTTTTCTATTTCTCTCTCATGTTCGCGCAGGCGGTCGTTGAGGCAGCGGCCCGTCTGTCCGATGTACTCTGCCCCGCACGAGAAGGGCACTGAATACACCCGTCCGACCGCGCAGGGAACAAAGGGGGCCGCATGCCTCTTGGCGCAGCTGATCTTGGGAGGAGGGGGAGTGTTTACCAGGCGGCATATGGCGCTCAACTTGAAGGGGCACGAAAAAGCAACGTCCATGTCGAAACGTCGAGCCACTGTTTTTAGTCGGTGGGCGGTGTTGTGGAAATATGGGATGGTTGTATACCTCTGCCGGGCAGGCTTCCGAGCGGCGGTTTTTTCAACTATTAGTTTTCTGAGCGTGGAGGCCAGCAGGTCGCGCGGGTATCCGGCGTTTGTGAGGCGGCTGAGCTGTCCCTCCAGGCTAGATGAGGAGAGGTGTTGACAGGACTTTCTGCGGGTGGAGGAGATGAGACTTTTTGCGATGCCTGCTTTTACTGTCTTTGAATGGTGGCTAGTAAATGGTAGCACCGGCTTCTGCGTCCGCTGCTGGAAGCGCCAGCAAGTGCCTCCCTGGGTGGCCACAAGGCGTACGTCCAGGAACTGGAGACCCTCCGCCGAGGGGTCCTCCCTAGTGAAGCTCAGGCCATTTGCGTTATCCGTGAAGGCTTTCTGGATGGCGGCTGTGGGCGCGCCGGAGTCGTGGAGCACCAGATAGTCATCCACATATCTGAACACCTGGGTTCCTGGAGCGACGCTGTCCAGTTGCTCTTTCACGGCCTGATCCACGAAGGAAAGGTAGACTTCGCTGAGCGAAGGTGCCAGGCAGGACCCGATGCAGACACCCGATTTTTGTAAATATATTTTCCCGTCATGCTCCACCATGGTCGACCGAAGATATACCCTGATTAATTGCAGGAACGCGCTGAGGGGGATGCCGGAAGAGTTTTGAAATTTGACGATGCCCTGTGTGGTGATGGCTTTTTCTACCGCATCCAGGAGGATGTTGAAGTCGAGGCTGTAGTACATGTCGGTGATGTCTAGGGAGAAGAAGGTGGTACCTGGGCCTGATGTGTGGAGAAGCTGGAGGGCTGGGAGGAGTTCCTGAGAGCTGCCCACGCGGAAAGGCTGGTCCAGGGGGACGGCTGCCAGGTGCTTCTGCAGGTAGAGAGCCAGAGGCTTCTGCCAGCATCCATTTTCTGATACGATGCTCCTCAGCGGGATCTCCGGCTTGTGGGTCTTGGCGGTGAAAAAAACTTTTAGATACTGGTTCGCAGGGGCTGACACTCTCGTGAGAAGCGACGAAAGGTTGTTCGACCTGCAGATGTCTTTGACTTCCGAACGGAGGGTGCCGGACGGTCTTTTGTTAACGAGGACGAAGTTTTTCTTGATGGCGAGTTCAACCTTTTCACCGAAGTTAGACTCGTTCATAACCACAAACACTCCCGTCTTGTCTGCCTCCAAAAGCCTCAGGTCAGACCCCCTGAGTTCATTCACCACTTGGGGGAATTCTGGTTTGGTTGGGTGGGCTGCTCCATGCATGCACACCAAACGGGAACCAACGCCGAGGAACTCTTGTCGGGCCGGCTCCGGAATTCTCGACGCGATCTGGTGTACCGCTGCGAGCTGATCCACTCTTGACGGTGTGACAGGGGGAGCGAATTTGGGTCCCTTTGAGAGCAGTGCCTCGGCTTGCGGTGATAGTTTCGAGCCCGAGAGATTCAGCGGAGGCTGAAGCTTGGGACACTGGTTCACTCGTTTTTCTGTGGATGCAGTCGCAATTACGACCTTCCAAGATGAATCCAGGAGGTCTTGTCCTGACTTTCTAAACCTACATCATTACCAACGCGCTCACTAAGAAGTTTATTATTTACGAGAGCTATGTGTTTGTCACGTCCCCAACTGCCGTGCGTCGGACCTTCGGGTTTCCAGCCAGGCCCCTTTCTCCGTGCCGCCCTCTTCATCTCGAGACTGTATCTGCTTCGCCTGCGCCTGCGATCCTTTGGACTCTACCTCAGGAAGACCATCCCTCACCCCGCCGTCCACCAGGTATTTGGATTCAACTCTGCCAGCTGGACTGCCAACTACAGAGTCATGCAGATAGCACGCAGTGAGCTCTCGCAGGAAATCCTTGTCATGCAGAGGTCACTTCCCGGTCTCATGACGGGCATCTTCGGTGCCCGCTTTACAGTTCACCCTTCGTACATATTTCTAACCAAGTCAGGACAAGACCTCCTGGATTCATCTTGGAAGGTCGTAATTGCGACTGCATCCACAGAAAAACGAGCGAACCAGTGTCCCAAGCTTCAGCCTCCGCTGAATCTCTCGGGCTCGAAACTATCACCGCAAGCCGAGGCACTGCTTTCAAAGGGACCCAAATTCGCTCCCCCTGTCACACCGTCAAGAGTGGATCAGCTCGCAGCGGTACACCAGATCGCGTCGAGAATTCCGGAGCCGGCCCGACAAGAGTTCCTCGGCGTTGGTTCCCGTTTGGTGTGCATGCATGGAGCAGCCCACCCAACCAAACCAGAATTCCCCCAAGTGGTGAATGAACTCAGGGGGTCTGACCTGAGGCATTTGGAGGCAGACAAGACGGGAGTGTTTGTGGTTATGAACGAGTCTAACTTCGGTGAAAAGGTTGAACTCGCCATCAAGAAAAACTTCGTCCTCGTTAACAAAAGACCGTCCGGCACCCTCCGTTCGGAAGTCAAAGACATCTGCAGGTCGAACAACCTTTCGTCGCTTCTCACGAGAGTGTCAGCCCCTGCGAACCAGTATCTAAAAGTTTTTTTCACCGCCAAGACCCACAAGCCGGAGATCCCGCTGAGGAGCATCGTATCAGAAAATGGATGCTGGCAGAAGCCTCTGGCTCTCTACCTGCAGAAGCACCTGGCAGCCGTCCCCCTGGACCAGCCTTTCCGCGTGGGCAGCTCTCAGGAACTCCTCCCAGCCCTCCAGCTTCTCCACACATCAGGCCCAGGTACCACCTTCTTCTCCCTAGACATCACCGACATGTACTACAGCCTCGACTTCAACATCCTCCTGGATGCGGTAGAAAAAGCCATCACCACACAGGGCATCGTCAAATTCCAAAACTCTTCCGGCATCCCCCTCAGCGCGTTCCTGCAATTAATCAGGGTATATCTTCGGTCGACCATGGTGGAGCATGACGGGAAAATATATTTACAAAAATCGGGTGTCTGCATCGGGTCCTGCCTGGCACCTTCGCTCAGCGAAGTCTACCTTTCCTTCGTGGATCAGGCCGTGAAGGAGCAACTGGACAGCGTCGCTCCAGGAACCCAGGTGTTCAGATATGTGGATGACTATCTGGTGCTCCACGACTCCGGCGCGCCCACAGCCGCCATCCAGAAAGCCTTCACGGATAACGCAAATGGCCTGAGCTTCACCAGGGAGGACCCCTCGGCGGAGGGTCTCCAGTTCCTGGACTTACGCCTTGTGGCCACCCAGGGAGGCACTTGCTGGCGCTTCCAGCAGCGGACGCAGAAGCCGGTGCTACCATTTACTAGCCACCATTCAAAGACAGTAAAAGCAGGCATCGCAAAAAGTCTCATCTCCTCCACCCGCAGAAAGTCCTGTCAACACCTCTCCTCATCTAGCCTGGAGGGACAGCTCAGCCGGCTCAGCCGCCTCACAAACGCCGGATACCCGCGCGACCTGCTGGCCTCCACGCTCAGAAAACTAATAGTTGAAAAAACCGCCGCTCGGAAGCCTGCCCGGCAGAGGTATACAACCATCCCATATTTCCACAACACCGCCCACCGACTAAAAACAGTGGCTCGACGTTTCGACATGGACGTTGCTTTTTCGTGCCCCTTCAAGTTGAGCGCCATGTGCCGCCTGGTAAACACTCCCCCTCCTCCCAAGATCAGCTGCGCCAAGAGGCATGCGGCCCCCTTTGTTCCCTGCGCGGTCGGACGGGTGTATTCAGTGCCCTTCTCGTGCGGGGCAGAGTACATCGGACAGACGGGCCGCTGCCTCAACGACCGCCTGCGCGAACATGAGAGAGAAATAGAAAAAAACGACGAGGACTCCCAACACCCAATGGTCCATCACCTCAAGGTTTGCGCTCCATGCGCCCCCGAGTTCCCGCCCGCGCGTGTTCTGGGGGCCAACAAGAACCGCTACGGGCGCGAGATCGTGGAGGCGTTCGCCATAAAAGAGGCGCCGAAGAACATTTCCTCGGCCTCGTTGTCGCTGTCCGAGAGAGAGGTTACATTCCTGAGACCGGAGTTGACGGCCTTGGCGGGCCGGGCGAGCGCCCCTTGCTCCTGAGAGGGAAATCGGGATGCTTCCTTCCTTCCTCTCCTTTCCGCTGTCCTTTCCCACGGTTTCTCCCAAGTCCTTGTCTTGGCCCCCCCCCCCCCCCCACCCTCCTTCCCCTTCCCCCTCCTTTTAACTTTCCCTCTCCTATAGTGGAGCTCCGAAGGCGAAGCGTCCGGCAATAAATTCATTTGTTTGTTGAAAGTTGAAAGATGTGTTGTCCCGTCCCCTGTTTTTACGTATATAACTCTTTCTAAACCTACATATTTTTTTCTATTTTTAATATTGAGTGTGTGCCTTCAGTGACCCATGACTTTGATTAAATTTGGTGGTCGCATCGATACCTTAGAAAACGGCCCGTGACCGCGAAAAAGAGAGTGAGCGAGACTCGAACCGGCCAATTCTTGATCGGCGGTTTTCGGGCGGAAAGAAACCGAATTTCGAGCCGCAAATTCTGTTCTGGGTAGTTGAGCTCTCATATGTCACCTACAACTAAAAACCTCGGCGAGCATAAATACCCTGTCAGTGTCCCTTTAACCATGGCTATGTCCCAAATCTACTCTAATAGATTCCGTGGGAGCACGAATAGGACAACGTTGTGGAGCCAGGGGGGTTTTCGAAAGCAAAAGTACAAGACTGCGAGAATGAAAATCTTTGAAGCGCGGCCGATATGGTCGTGTGCAATCTGTTGACCAATTACAACTAGGCGAGCCGCGCTCAAACGTCAAGTGCAATTAAGTAGGTTGATATAAAGCCAGCACTGATCAGTGATGAGGAGCTGTTGTGCACGGTATTGTGTAAATCGTCTAAGGACGAAAAAAAGACGTACCTTCACCACATCTTCCGTCGCTAGTGGACGCTGGATTAAGCTCGTTCCTAAACCGCGAGGGGAAAAGACGCTGATCCAGAGGCACGAACAGCTTCACGCACATTGCACTCGCTAAACACATACACACGGCGTCGGTTCTTGGTCAGTATCCAAGCGCGCGAAGGCACAGACACACGGCACTTCGGCGTGCCAAGGAAGCTTTGAACACACCGCCAGCCCTTCCTTTCGACGCGTTGTGCCTTTTTCCTGCGACACTGCACTTTCGTAAAATTTTCCACGTGTTCACAACGGCAAGTCTCAACAATACACAGAGGCTTCAAAAAACTTCTTCGGCGAATGAAGACGAACGAGTAGAAAACGTGTCCACAGCACGCTGGAAAACCGCAGCAAAGGCTAGCAAAGACGGCAAATCGTATCCCAAGCGAGTGAAGTCCGGTGGCTTCACTTGCGCTGCAGCGAACAAGCGGGGAAGCGCGATCCAGCAATTGTCATAGAGATCAGTGGTAAACGCGAAGAGTGAAAACTCTCAGCAATATAAACAGTGATAATTTAACGTTGTAAACTAAATTCTGAGCTATTATAACGCTTATAAAAAGCAATAAAGTCATTACGCTGCATTAACTTCCCTTCTGTCGAAATCTCGGAAATCTGGTGGTTGCGCAGTTTCGTATTCCTCAACCGCGCCCACCCGCGCCCCACCAGTTTAGCGTTAACGCGAGGCCGTACATCTGCGCGCTATGCAAAAAGAAAGCTTCGAAAGGAACGCGAATATCTTTCTACCGCTAAGTTCGTGGATTGTTGAAGTTCACGAAACTGCTCTGATGATGTAACCGTGTTTGGGACCCCGAGGGTCTGCCTGCATGATCCGCCGCTTGCGGCAGCCAGAATGTATGGGAAAATGGCGGACCTTTTCCTCTAGAGTTAGTATGTATGATCTCTATGGCGTGCACCACTGATCTCTATGACAATTGCTGGATCGCGCTTCCCCGCTTGTTCGCTGCAGCGCAAGTGAAGCCACCGGGCTTCACTCGCTTGGGATACGATTTGCCGTTTTTGCTAGCCTTTGCTGCGGTTTTCCAGCGTGCTGTAGACACGTTTTCTACTCGTTCGTCGTCATTCGCCGAAGAAGTTTTTTGAAGACTCTGTGTATTGTTGAGACTTTCCGTTGTGAACACGTGGAAAATTTTACGAAAGTGCAGTGTCGCAGGAAAAAGGCACAACGCGTCGAAAGGAAGGGCTGGCGGCGTGTTCAAAGCATCCTTGGCACGCCGAAGTGCCGTGTCTCTGTGCCTTCGCACGCTTGGATACCGACCAAGAACCAACGCCGTGTGTATGTGTTCAGCGAGTGCAATGTGCGTGAAGCTGTTCGTGCCTCTGGATCAGCGTCTTTTCCCCTCGCGGTTTAGGAACGAGCTTAATCCAGCGTCCACTAGCGACGGGAGATGGGGAGAAGGTACGTCTTTTTTTCGTCCTTAGACGATTTACACAATACCGTGCACAACAGCTCCTCATCACTGATCAGTGCTGGCTTATTATCAACCTACGCGACTCGCCTAATTGTAATTGGTCAACAGATTGCACACGACCATATCGGCCGCGCTTCAGAGATTTTCATTCTCGCCGTCTTGTACATTTGCTTTCGAAAACCCCCCTGGCTCCACGTACAACGTTGCCCTATTCGTGCTCCCACGGAATCTATTAGAGTAGATTTGGGACATAGCCATGGTTAATATAGTACATAAGAATACGTACAGATCTCCCCCTTTTATTGATAGCAACTCACCGGAACAGCTGGACGATCCAGAACTCCGTGGCCGATATATATATAAATGATCTAAAGGCATCTACGCGCGACACACGTTCAGAACTTTGGCGCGGCGTCAATTCTTGACCGGTATCCAAGCGTGCGAAGGCACAAAGATGCATCACTCGGCGTGCCAAGGAAGCTTTGATCACGCCGCGACACCGGCGACACGTTTTCGACGAGTTGTACCTTTTGATACGGCTTCACGCACATTGCACTCGCTAAACACATTCACACGGCGTCGGTTCTTGGTCGGTATCCAAGCGCGCGAAGGCACAGAGACACGGCACTTCGGCGTGCCAAGGATGCTTTGAACACGCCGCCAGCCCTTCCTTTCGACGCGTTGTGCCTTTTTCCTGCGACACTGCACTTTCGTAAAATTTTCCACGTGTTCACAACGGAAAGTCTCAACAATACACAGAGTCTTCAAAAAACTTCTTCGGCGAATGACGACGAACGAGTAGAAAACGTGTCGTCAGCACGCTGCAAAACCGCTGCAAAGGCTAGCAAAAACGGCAAATCGTATCCCAAGCGAGTGACGCCCGGTGGCTTCACTTGCGGGAGCGGCAAGCGCGATCCAGCAATTGTCATTGAGATCAGTGGCGTGCACCAAGCAAGGAGGTTAGAAGTACTAGGAGGGGGCACGTTGCAATATTGGTGAAGCCTAGTCATAAAAAGTTTAAACGATTTTGTGCCCAGCGTGACCGCAGATCTCTCTGGCGATTGGTGCGCGTGACATGTCACGTGTGAGATGGATGGTTGATTGTAGGAGGACTCCTTGCAGGCTTGCGCGCGCTCCGTCCGGCAGGTTTTATCACGTCGAAGGCTAGACTGTGGTGTCTTCTAGTACCCCATAGCAAGAAGAATGCTAGCTACGGTCTCGTGATGTGGTCACGTTGGCATGGTAAGTGAGGAGAGTAAGGAGGAAAATGAGAAAGAGGCGAGGCGTCAAGGGAGCATGGCTTGTGGAGGCTACGCGGCCGACGTCATGCCCTCTCCTACCCTTCTATTCTCCATGGCACCAAGCATGCCTATTTTGGTCGTAATCCGGAACCGAAACCCAATTTCCCACAATGTCTGGCTACCGTTCTCGAAAAACATCCAAAATAATATAAACAAAGCGGAACTTTTTTTATTACTGTGATATTATATTACAATATTATTTTGTGCACTTTGTAGAATTTAGTGAATTTAATATCACAGAAAGTTGAAACCACTGATCTGGTTGAAACACTCATCAACGTGATTTAGCAACCATGGCAACGCTCCGAATCTTTCCGAACTTTTCCGATCGCTTGAGATTCGGCTACTTTTCCGAATCGTACCGAATCGCGATTTGGATAAAGATTCGTCCCATCACTAGTTATAGCCGACCAGGTAGCTGCGCTGCGCCATAACCATACGACCCTCAAACTTTCTCCTCTGCGTGCGATCATGAACCTCTTGGCGCTCTCTCATTCCCTGAGACCTCTCCTGACCCGCAGCCTATGTTACGAGTGCCGCAGAAGGCTGCCCAGTCTCATGGAAGCATCCAGTTCGTTGCAGACAACCCGTGTATTTCACTTGGCCGCGCCTCGCGAGGCGAGTATGCTGTCCCAAATCGAGCCTTTCCGTCGTACACCGCATGCAACGCCGGTTCTTTTCTCTGAATAGTTCCCAATCCGGCCCCTAGCCAGCATCAAAAACACGCGGTTGGAGAGGCTAAAGTACGCTTGGAACTGGTACACGTCGCAGCAAGTGGTGAGTCAATGCGCTGGGGATTCACACCGGAGTCATGCGGTTTAGAGAAGCTCGTTTTAGCGAAAGCCGTCTACCGACCCCAGTTTATCGAATTCCTTTATAGAGAAACCCAGTTTAGAGAAAATGGCGATGAGCCTCCTTTTAGCGAATTCGGCCGCCGCGAAGCGGCGTGTGCGGATAAGTCAGATGGGTTAATATTTTTGTAATGAGCCGCCGCAGACTGCCGCCGCGAAGCGGCGGGAGCGCAGCGGGGGGCTTGGGTTAACACGCGCACCAGTGATACACGCGCTAAGTAGAAAACCTTTTTTTAAATAGAGTCCCTTTTTCGATAAACGGAAATTCTCTAAACTGAGGCTCTCCTTTCTCTAAACTGTGCTTCGATAAAACGTGCCCATTCTCTAAAACGTGCTTCGACGAAATGGCATTCTATCAACCGTAGTACACCCAATTCACACGAAGGTTCTTTTGAGTCCCGAGAGGTTTGATGTTTCCTTTCATCGTGGTCAGGAAACCAGGAAGGCGGCAGTGTATATCTACGAGAGCTGCGTCGACAGAGTTGACTTCGCCACCTTCTTTACGTGTAAGTAATAAACTCGAGCTCATTCTTTTTCGTCCATCTTTTGGGTTTGGTGTTGCGAACCTGCGGAGGTTTGAGTGCTCTGCATATCCGCGGATATTCGCAGTCAACTGGCGGATAAAAATGAATCAGTGTTGGCGGACTGCGGATGCACGGGGCTGCGGATATCCGCGGATCTAGATTTTTGCCAGCCAAGAAACATGCGCGACCGCAGAGTGAGCGAAAAGTGGCTGCGTATCATGGGATGTTTTTCGGGAGATACTCTCAGAAGAAAGTGGCCAATCGGAGAGACAAATGTTCTTTATGCCAGGAAGGACCTTATTTTCACTTAAGATCACTTTAGAGTGCCAAAAACGCCCTAGAAAAAAATGCACGGGCATCAATCGCTCCGGGAAGGTGTGTTCTTATTCATCACGGAAAGGGCGGAAGACGTCCCCTGGCCAAAGGAATCCCGAAACGTACAAGCCACAAGAAAGTAGAAGTCTCTTTTCCTCCTTGTAGAAAAGAAAAACAAACTGGAGCACGCGCTGCCTGGAGCCTGCAGAACCGTCTGACGGAACATGACGGTACTGCTCCCGCAAGACATGCGTGGTATTATTTGCAGCCCTTGCCACACGTGGAGCCACACATTCCTCTTTCGTGAGCGGCGAGCCTTCGAACCGGTGTTGGTCACAAACAAAAAGACCGCAAGCAATCACGCTGAAACGAGAACACAAAGAAGAAAGCTCAGTCATTTCCAGTGCACAACGCTCGAGGGTTTATTTGCGACTCCAGCGAATTATAGGGGGCACGTTGGTCAGATAAAATGGCAGACGAAAGGAGGTCGTTTTCGTCATTCAGCACACAGACCACCATAAATTTCTTGCACTGCACCTTAAAATTGGTGTTGCATATAAAAGCAAAGCAATTTTTCGATGATAGAAACCCTCTTCTAGTCAGTGCGTAGGAATGGCATGACAGAAGCATACAAATATTGACTGGAAACAATGTTTGTTTCTAAGCTGCCTTCGAGAACCAAGCAGCGATAGCAGACGACAGAGTCAAAACGACCTCCTCTCTTCAGCTTCTCGGCGTTGCCGCTACGCGGTGTGGATTTTGCTGGAGTTACCAATAGTTGGCAGCTATATTAAAACATCATTGCACGTTCACTGTTTCAATAAAGAAAGATTGCCCTTTATCGGGATGCAATGGTTCAACTGAAATTGCTCAAGTCTCAATGTTGGTGCCCTATTGCAAAATGATGCCCCCTTCTGAGCGGAATTCGAATCCCTTCAATAGAATAAGTTAGCATAGTGCATAAATAAACTTTTGCAGTGCTATAATGTTGGTGTTACAAAGCAAAAAAAAAAAAAAAAAATGAAAATGTCTTTTTTGGGCGCATAATCTGGGCAGAGTGTATCTGACTCCCAGGACGATCTCGGAAGTGCTATAATTTTTCCAGCGACGTGAAGTGTGTATGAAAGCATGATCACTTCTAATATAAATTCGGTGAAATAACTTTTACTGTATTTTGACTCAAAAAAGTTTTTTTTTTTTTTTATAAATATAAGGAAATGGCTTATGAAGTATCATCTAGATGCTTTTTAACAAAGAATGTGTTATATGGCTGGTACCTAACCACATCCAGTGACTTTTTGCTGTTCACGCTTGATTTTTTAATGTACAATGAATGCCCGGATTGTGGGTCGGATGTAGTTCCGAATTTTGTGGATGCAGTCTGGATGCGGATACAAAGTATGCGGATGCGGGATCGGGTGCGAATACAATAATCTAAGAACATTGTGGATGCAGTTAGGGTGCGGATAATCAAGCTGTTATCCACACAGGGCTCTCTTCATTAGCCTAAACTTCTTCAGACTTCTATAGCGAAGTTCCACAAAATTTCGACTAAAGTTTGACCTCTGTGCAGATGCTTGAAAATCAACAAACGAGGTAACTTCACCTGGTGGGGAGAGAGTGCAATATTTGTTGGGTACATTGTTTTATTGCTTTTAAACTGGTATGTGAATAATGGTTAGGATTAGGAATGTTGCAAACCTGCCGAGGTTCGAGTTCTAACAAGTTAGACTTTTCCGAACTTTTAACACCAAGTTTGGCTTTCATGCACATACACAAAAATTTGCAAACTAGTTGACGCCACGTTGCGGAGGAAAAGTGCAGCATTCATTGACGTTAAAGAACTAATCAAAGCATTAAAAGTACAGATATTTACTTTTATACTGTCTAAAGGTTGATAATAATTTTATGAAATGTAAAACAAACTTTTTTATAAATTACTTATTTCCAAATCATTCAATATTTTTGTGTAGGTGTCAGGCAACATTGTCCATAAGTTAACGTTCACCAAACTTTGCTAAAAGTTGGAAGGTTTGCCGAACTTTGCTAAAAGTTTGAAGGTTTGCCGAACTAGTTGAGCCTTGAGGTCCAACCTCAGGTTCAGGTTTGACAAAAGTTTGTGACACCCCTTGTGGGTCCCCTTTCGTTTGATCCCTCATTCTTGCTTTGGGATGAATCACTCGTTCCAATTTTTATTGTTTTAGAGCTTTTGACAGAACTGACCATTTATTCTAATCGCAGCGATTGCATCTGGTAATATTACAAGTTTCATTACTTTGGAACAATACATGTTTGACACAGTATACCCCACGTAGCTTTTGTAACATGCAAACTGTAGTCATGATCAGTGAAATCTCACTAGGGCAACACTCTCCCGACTCTGTTCAAGGGACATACAACAAGGGGCAACATGGTTGCACTTGTCCAAACCAAAAACCAAATTTGACGTTTGTGTTTATACGGCGTCGATCTGCCCTTAAAGTAGAGCGACCCTGCTTTACACTGTAGATGAGAAATTGAGCCAGTGCAGTACAACCTGAGGTCTCTAAAGTGTATCACGCAGTAGTGACACACAACCGCACGCCGACGCTCGTCGAGATTGAGTGCCTCAAAACCTCTTAAAATCTCTCGCGACGAGAGAACTCTGGAGAGCCTCAGTGTTAGAGAGGGTTCAACTTGAGTCGTGGAGGGCACTCGCAATTCAATGGCGGACGCCACCGACGGGGATTGGTCGCGAGTGTGCACGTGTTGCATTGTTGGGTGGCGAGGAGAAAAGCGGGCAGAAGGCGGAGACGTCTGGGGGCGGTTGATGCTTTTGTCGCCTCCTCGCTGCTCGTATAGCAAATGCGGCTCATACACCGCGTGGTCCTGGTCGAGCAGTTGGAATCTCTGTACTACAGGCTCTCCAGAGAACACAGAGGCACGCTGGCACCATCTATGCGGTCACCCTGGAGCTGCATTTCACTAGAGCGAAGGTTTTGCGGTATTTGCGAGGTCAATTGTACGTGCTACATAGAAGAAACTCTCATTTATAAGATTAACCAAAGTTTTTCGAACAAAAAAAAAAAAAAAATTATGCGCGAAAAAATAAAAAAAAATCTATGGGATCACCGAGTGTTCCGCGGCTACCCGAAAGGTAGCACCGGCGTGTCCTCTAGTCGTTATAGATTTTAACAAGTTTTTCTGGACCGTGTGTTTAGCAAACGATCGTAAAAAGTTGGGAGTGTGCGAACGGGCCTTAAATCCTGCCCTACGTTCCATCCCACCCAGATCTATGTGTAACGGACGTCGCCGGGGAGACGTGTTCGTGCCGTCCGCGTGCGGAGTTTGTTGGTCGTTTGCCTCGCGGAATCTGTTGACCTCCGGGAGTGCAAGACCCCTTCAAACGCGCCTTGCAGATCTCAAGCTACCGGATACATTTCTATCCTGGTTCTTCGTCACGGAGCTGCATCTCTGGCAAGTGGACCTTTGACTTGGGGGGGGGGGGGGGGGTGACCTTCGGTGCAACACTCCGTAGTAGTTGGAAAGCGACCCGCGAGCTTCAAGAGCGGCACTCCACGTTTCACCGAGAGGCGCAGCTTTTTCAGTGCTCCGAAGAAGCGGAGTTTCTTGGAGACACCATGGGAACGCGTGTTTGACCAGCGTGTTCATCGTGTCCTTGTTTGGGTTTCTTTCCGCCTGGCAGTGTCGCAAAAGCGTCGTACAATCGCCTGCTGTGTTCCTGGTGGCGGTACGACGGCGGAAACGGGTGCGGTGTATCATCTGCGGGTCGCTTCCCAACTCGACGACCCAACTTCAGCAGCCGGGAGTTGGGACGCAGCTGCAACTCTCGCCTTTGCTCGTCTTTTTTGCCAAAGCTTCTAGGGCCACTGGCCAGGATTTCAGTGTCCAACAGCCCAACGCACCGGGCCCTGTGACGTCGTTCGTCGCCTCTTTGGGACGCTGAGCACGCCGGTTGAAAGCATGTTACAGCCACCGTAGTGACCCAATCACCCTGACGCTTCCAGGGGCCCTTACCTACACGGCGAAACCGAGGGACCGCATCCTCGCCGCCCACTGCGATCGGTCGGCGGGGCGGAGCTGGCCAGTTGCAGCGGGTGGCAACGTTTCGGTCGCCCCGCCCCGCTTGGCCCCGCCGTGTAGATTGGGGCCCCAAAAGGTTGCTTCTCGAGTCCTTACTAGCCTCCTCGACTCATTCAGCGTTTTGTGTGGGTTTCCGTAAGTGTTTCAGGTGCATCACCCATGTGGGTTCCTTGGGTAGCTACGAGTGTCTTTATCAGGCACAACCTTCCAGCTGCCATAGGAGTGTTCGGCTTGTCAGCAGTTCTAGAAAAACTGCTATCATAATAATGATAATTTTTTTAAATTGTACTTGAAAACAAAACACGTAAAAGTGTACTGACCCACAAAACTGAAAAGCTCTCGTATGTTGGGTTGTAGCTTCCTGCAGCATTCTTGCGAGTCGTGAAACCGAGGCTACAGTGTCTAGTATCGGCTACACTCTCGAGCAAACCGGCCAATGCCGCCTGCGCCGAAGTTAAATGTGGCGTGGCACGCCCCCCTGCGTCGGCGCAGATGCGGCAGAATGCTGATTCGGAGCTACCTGCTTCCTTTAGAGCTTCTGTCGATTTGAGCTTGACCTTTGCGGTCGTTTGCTTCCCCTTGACCTCTGCCAGCATGTGGTTCTCTCGCTGACATTTGTGGTCTTCCCGCTGATCCTCTCGGCGGTGCAGGATGTGCATGACGCGGGCCATGGCAGAGCCGGACGAGCGCAGGGCAACCTACCTTCAGAGCGAACTTGTGAGAAGTCTTTGGAGCGACACCGAAGCCCGTCTCAAGAAACTCGGCGTAAGTCGGTCGGGCACAAACCACCACGAGGGCTCTGATGTCTTAAAGTTCCACGGCAAAAGGTGACAATTATCGTATTTGATCTACTTATTGGTGGAACGTGCTGCGGAACTGAGAGTTTGGTCACACATCCCGTAATCTTGGGGCGGTCCAAGTTAGCTCTTTCCGTGCCACGCCCACGGGCCGTCGATCACCCGTAATCACTGATCTCTGTATGCCGCCAAAATTGAAAATTGGCACGCGGGAACACGTTGCATCGTCCCACGGATAGCCGAAGAACCATAGTTTTGGTTTTAAGTTTGTTTTGCTTTTTCTCGCAAGCTGATGAGCCATGAGAAATAAAGCTGCACGGCGGTCGCCCTCGTCAAACATGGTGTCCTGCTGGCATTGGGGATTGCTACAGTGATGGCCTCAGTTGTGCAATTTAACTGCTTTTGCTGCATTTTTTCTGGTGACAAGAGCATTGAGTACTATGGGTGTTTTATTATTTGATTTGAGCTCCTCTAGTAATAGTTCATCTCCAAGGTGCGAAATATTGAGATGTGATCGATGGGAAAAGTGTCCTGGAGGGGATGCACTTTTGCACATAACATCTCTGAATGGCAGGATGCCACAAAAGCACACTTGCCGACGGATTAAAAAAAAAAGACTATATATTCTAGAGCTCTCTTACTTACAGAGAAGTGATAGTGGTGTGTATGGGGCACACTTTGTACTCTAGTAAAGTATGTTGCTGGGTTAGTTGGTACGTAGCTAGGTACAAAATAAAATAGTGGTAAAGAGTGAATGAACTGAGGTTAGAGAACAAGAAGGCTTTTGTTCACGAAAGCATATTTATCATATTGTACAGTCAGACATCGTTTCTAAGAGATACTCAAATGGGAATTGAGATATACCTCTCACGTTCAGAAATAAGTTATCTGCTAATGACAATCGCTCGCTTGTATTTGAACGGATGGCTGCGTTTATCCTTCTAAACAGCCGATTCTGGCAAGAGCTCGGAAGAGCAGCCATTGGAAAGTGCGACGCGGGAGGTGCATTGTGACATCATTTTCCCCTGCACGGACAAGCTATGGCGAAGCTGGCATGGTTATAAGCTTCACCACTTGGTGGCGTTGAGTGCTTCACCTTGGCCGTTGAAGATACCTGGCGACTGGTTGGGCAACACGATAGCGGAGGCAATGTGACTCACCTGTGCCCTGAAACTACACTAACCTCCTCTGGTTTCACCCGTCCTTGCCTTTAACTTTAGCATACACCATTCCTACCCTCGGTTCCATACACCATTTTTTCCATTCGTCAGCTGCAAAGTTTTGAATTCCTAGGCACAGGACAGAAGGGAAATCCGGTTCGGCCAAATCTGACGGGCTACGCGTGCACCGAGCTTGGAGCTGTAATTTTGCGGAGCGACGCTGCTTTTAGGGGACAGTTGACACGGTGACATTCCAAGCAGCTTGGGGACGTCTACCAGGTTTCTATCATCTGCGAAAACACTGATGATAAGAAAATCGTGTGCGTTTTTGGATCGCCAGTTTTTCGTCTGCTGCACGAGGTGGAACTTGAACGCACGCTCCACGCGTGCTTTAACTCTTCCTCAAATTGACTGATCTATTTACGAGGTAAACAACGGCAAACAAGATGCGCTTCTCTTTAAGCACCTGTGCCCTGGGGGGAACCATTATCCGCAGAGCTGGCAGGTATCGCTTCCCTGCAGTGCACAGGTGCTCGGTGTGAAGCACGCTCGATGGGGCTCAGAGCCGTGTATACAGAGAGTCTGGTCAATGAGAGGCGCGGGCAGAGCCAGGGCGTGCGCCAGACACAGAAAGTGGGCTTGACATGCTCTTTTGGCCAACCTGAAGCTGAAAAGAATCCCCTAGCGGCGGTAGCGAGAAACACTTTTAATCAAAGGTATGTGTTGGTATATGGTCTTAATAAGTGCGTAAGAGTCAAATGTAGTGACCCTTCATGGTTGAAAATAGGGTGCATGTGATGTTTCAATCATGATCATGCAGAAAGATGTAAGAAACGAATGTGCTTTCTCATTTGCTTCTCTATCCTATTTGATAGTTTTTTGTTAGTCGATCCATGTTTAGATTGCATTGAACGTGCCCTTCTTTGTTGCAGAGCATGAGTTCCAGCATCAAGAGGGAGGCACTGCAAGACCTCTGCGACCACTTCAACGCTGCACTTCTCTTGTACGACGAGGCACGTCACATTCTATTCATTGCCCTTTAATGGGCAGCAATATATTGTTTTTTCGTACCATGGTTCGCACCCGCCATATATTCCGCGGGTGCGAATTTTGGCCGAAAAGGAGAAGTTTCTTGAAAACTCCACTCCTAAAGCGTTTTCCTACGGAGCATACTTTAAAAAATACCCGCTTTATTGGCTCATGAAAAAAAGCCGTGTATAAGTCATCGTTAACATACCGCAAGGTCCCTATAGACGCCCACCCAAAACGAAGAGATAAATGGTGAAGAGCATGGGGTGGGCCATCTTTGGGGATGCGACAGCGAGACTTTATAAAAATGTTATAGAGCACTGGAGCATTTGCTATAGTCCGTTTCACATCAAGAGGGTAGGGCGAGGGTAGGACACATAGGGGAGGAGGAACGCTAAAGAGAAAAGGAGGTTTCCCCTCTGTTCTCCAGCGTTCCATCTGCTTCCTCCTCCCGGGCCCGTCTTATCCTCGCCCTACCTTCTTGAGTTGCAACCAACTATAGGAACCACGCGAAACGGCAACTGACGCCGCCGATCGTGGACACTGCAAATTTGCATTTCACGATGCGGTAAACACGCAGGAATCCGCTACAAAACTGTTGTGTCATTGTAAAAGATATTGCGGACGCAGCCGATTTGCTTTACACGATTGCGATGGACACGCGGGAACCTGCTGCGAATTCGACTGTTATAGGAATTGATATCGCAGATGCAGTAGACTTGCATTTCATGATGCAAGAAACATGCAGGGTGAGCTCTCGCGTCATGGGAACCAATATCGTGTGCGGAGATCGCATACAAAAACGCATGAACCTGCTATGAACTCCCTTGCCACACGTACCGCAGATAGTGCGGTTGATGCGCTGTCAGACATTGTGCAATGTCGAACCGGGGTGTGGGCAATGTTTCGGAATTTGTCTGTTACGGATATGTAGCCAGAAAAACGGGACGGGCAATCTCTTGGGGGAGGGCGGCCTTATGGGATTTTACGCTAATCTAACATTCACAAAATCAATCGTGTCTCACGGTAATAAATCGTCCTGAAAAGAACGAATCCTCATATAGTTTGCATCTCTCGATAGTCCACACCGCTAAAAATTTCGACCTAAAGAAAGCTGAGGGCTTTGAAAACCAACGAATTGCAAAAACGTAAATTTTCGAAAAAACATATTTTCGGGTTGTGCATCTCATTAATTACCTTTTCTGTAATTATGAGCACCTAATTCACGGAGAAAATGTAAAAAAAAATATTATTTACGGGAGGCGCGGCTGGCTTGTAAGCGGCTGTCAAAGACCAAAATCAACCCTATTTGGCGCACTCACCGCTTCCGACTCGCTTGGCCGGGCACCGCCATCTTGGTCTTGTTTTGGACGTGGTTTCTTTCTTTTTCGCGGCTTTGAAAATGGCACCTGCCGCAAGGTTTCGGCATGCTCGGCGTTTTCCCATGTCACAGCTGCCAACCCGTGATTGAACAAAGCTCGAGGAGTGCGTAAGAGAAAGTGCGACAGCTACTGGCCGCGCGGTGGGTTCTCTTCCAGCGTTCTGTCCCCCTTTCCGTTTCTCCCGCCGTTGCTGCTTGCGTCGGCCCGTCGTCTGCTACGGGGCACTGATCCGCTTGCTTGCTCCGTCAGCTTCACTTGGTTTTTCGGCTGTCCATTGCTTCGTCACGTCTTTTCAATTGCGCCTCAGCTTCAATGAGTCTTCAATCCGCGATCTGTGTGCGTAATACCGGTTCCCGTGGTATGTTTGTAGCCAGTTTCCACGTGTTTGTCGCGCCGCACACCGCGAATCTACTGCATCTGCAGTACTGCTCCCCGTGACACAGGAGCTCGTAGCGAATTCCTACGTGTTCATTGCATTGTGAAACACAAGTTTGCCACGTCCGTAATCTGCGGTATCAGTTCCCGTGCCACGTGGTTTGTAGCGGGTGCCCCCGTGTTTATCATTAACGTTTCATAAAAGTTTGCTGTTTCATCTCCAAAGATGGCCCACCTCTTGTTTTTCCCGATTTATCTCTTCAGTTTGGGTGGTTGGCTTTAAGGAATTTTATGGTAGGTTACCAGTTTTGGCTGAATAGTGTCGACGATTGCAGCCAACGCCAACATTGCCCCGAAGGAACCATTTATTTATTTTGCGTCCCCTTTTGCAAAAAGTATTCCCGGTCATTGGGGAAATATCCCGATTACATAATTGGTGATATCTTTTCAGTTAGCATTTGTTTTCATAAACGATGTAGATCTGGAAAGCTGCTTCTTTGAAAGGGGGACGTCCTTTGTTCGATTATTTCTTACTTTTGTCGGTTGTTTCGATCGGCATACTAGCCCTCGAGAGAACGAATTCGTTACATCTGCTTGCATTTCGTTAGCAGCCTGGTGCATCTCAATATTTCACCGTTGGGTCTGAAGCTTGCACTCTCTGGTGCATTATCGAGATTGGTCGAATAGCTTAGATGGCTGTATGCCGTACAGCTATCCTAGCTCTATTACGTCATATGCAAAATTTAACCCGCCTGGATAGATGGCAGGAATCAGTCAGTTTAGCAGAAAGGTGAACTGCTGCATCCTTGTTGCGTAAAACGAAACGCAACTTATCTCGATCGAGAGGTACAAAGAAAACATTTTTTGCTGGGTTGCTACGCAGTTTAGCCCATTTCTCGTGAAAACGTGGAGCAGTGCTGGGAAAACATTACATTTGACGTTAGACAAGTGTGCTCTGGCAGAGGAAACGAGCAGCTACGAAATTTCTGCCCGCAACATTGTAGGAGGAAAGAAGTCTCTACCAGGCGGAAAATTGTTTTGCACGTCAAGATTTAAATGTATTTTAGAGAAAGCGTATAGGGCTAGGTTTTTCTAAAGAAATGTCGCAGAAACATTTGTGCAATGTAGAAACATGAAAGGATTACGCTCTAAATCGGTGCCTCCCAAAGTGCTGCCAGTGGCGCGTCAAAAATAAAAAGATATCCCGTGGCCACTCCTCCCTTGGGGCTTTTTGCAGTGCCGCAAGCTTTTCAATTTCGGTGCGCCAACAGTAAGACATAAAATCGACGCTGAAATTGCATTTCAATGTTAATGCAAACAGGGTGAAAGAAAAAGAAATGCATGTAGGCAGGCATCCTAATGACTAAAGTGAGCTAGAGCACAGTTTGTGAATACAATGTTGAGCTGCGACCTGTTACTTTGTTTCGATCGACGCCGCCTATTTTTTCGAGTTTCCAGGCAGCTTTGGGACCCTTCTCTGAATCTAACCCCCAGTTTGGGAAACACTGAACCAAACAAAGCAATTTTAGGTCCTGGTTTCTAAATTGTTGTACTCTTACCAATGAAGGTTTGCAGTCAGTGGGGAATGACTTCCTGCTATGTATACCAGGATCCTTAGATAAACTATTCACTGGTCTGGAAACTATGCTGGTTTCTGCCCTACTAAATTTTGTCCCCACAAGCAGCACTGACACAGGTAGGAGTAGGCAAAGTGAAAAGAAATCGCAAGTTTCAAAGGGAACGAGTCGTGAAATATTTCGATAATTTAGCAGATGGTGCACCCTTCACGTGGCGTTTTAATTATTCCAAAATCATACGACCCCTAGGTCTCGTGCATAGTTGGCGTTTCCAGTCGTACAATTGTTCAGCACTTGTGCGGTTTTATAATAAAGTACCGTAAAATCCCGAGAGATAGCCTACCTAAATCAAGAAAAAATCGGGTGAAAATATGGGGATGGCTAATTTTCAGTGTACAATTAAGAAAAGTTGAAACCATTATATTTTTAGGTCATGCTTTCCTTCCAAGCTTGTTATCGTGGCGAGGGACAAGGAAGTAAAGATGACTGCTTCCCAGTCATCGCAGCTAACTAGCCACATTTACGCGCCGAGGCTATCATGGATCCCACTAGAAGTGGGCTATCTTTCGGTGTTTAAAAAAAATAGATGAAATCAAGCAAAACGTAGGGGTGGGCCACCTTTCGGGAGTGGGGCATCTCTCGGGATTTTACGTTAGACTCATTCGGCGACTTCTCTGAGCTCACGTCCACCCATTAGGTTCTCCGGGTGATCCAATTGGTTGACCCCTAATATGTGCAGCGCACCTCTGGTGCTTCAATTTGCCTCTAGAGAAAACGTTCTCCTAGCTCGACAAAAGTGTTTCAGAGCGGGTGATCTAAGCATTGTGGTGGGGCATACCGAGTCCACCGAATTTAGCGTCACTCCGGAGCTCCCGAAAGCTCACAAACAAATACCCCGCGCATCTCAAAACTTACACCACCTAGAATAATCGAAACCGCGGACTAGACTTTTGATGTCCTCGCGGCGAGATCGGGCCAAGACTCAGATTAGGTACCAGCGCCATGTCAAGGGACGCTCGATCTCGAGCTTGGGTCAAATCGCAGAGTTGGACGTTCCACGGGGGAGGTGGAGGGCGCTCGCGGGCCTCGAGTATACTGGGCGGTGGCGTCGAAACACGCCGTACATTGTGCTTCCGTTCCCCGCAGGGTGCCCAGGGGGACGACAAGGCCCTGGCGGGGGCACTGTGGCGCGTCATGCTCATGTGCGAGGGCAACGACCCCTCGGCCCTGGAGACCCTCGTCTGCTACGTCCGGCGACAGGTGAGAAGGCGGCGGCTCAACGGGGACCAAAGAACGCGTAGCATTAAAAACGCCTTCGCTCGCATCCGCCCAAAACCGCGCTCCGTCGTGCGCTGCGTCCACCATCGCACCGAAGCGGTTGTTCGTGAACCGGCGCTCAAACCGCCGGTTGGTTGCTGCGTAATGTCGATAGGCCACTTCCAAAAATCTCGTCGTGTAACACTGTGCGCATTGCATTATGGGCTGCATTCGGCCACGGAGAGGAGCGGCACGGTTTCGATTGCCTCGTGGACGAAGTGGCGCGTCTCGGCACTGCGCAAAGATAAAGCCTGCACTCGCTCGCATTGCACCCGCTCATCCTCGTGAGAGCTTCTGTTTGAGCAGGGACCTCCGGCGGCCGTAAAGACCTGCCTAGGCTCGGCCAGGATTACGGCCGGCCGTGTCTCGTACGTTTCTGGCGACCATCTGCTGCAGAGTGTGGCGAGACATTCCCGGCTCGCAATTCATTTAAGAAGCTTGGGACATTGAGAAGACGACGGAACAGGATGGTCGGCCCTGTACACTTCTTCCTCTGCCACGTACATTGCAGTCCCGCGCTTACCTGCACGTCGGGAGCCCGAAAAGACCCGGCCCAGCATTCAATCCCTATCTGCAGGCAGCACCTATGGTGGTATAAATTCGAGGAAAAGTTGTGCGTTCAAAAATGCTGCATTGTTATTCGATCGTTACTGGACACCGCGAAGCGAAGTTGGAAAGTTCTAAACCAAAACTCGATGCCAAAAGGTTCGCCAGGACGCTTTGCACGGCACTACTCCACTAGGATTCTTGTTGCGACTGGGACCGGCGCTCTCACCCTGCAGCCGCGTTCCTTCCTCCGCTTTGCCGGCGTAAAGAGCTCGCCCTGAAGTCATACGTATGTGCGAGAGGAAAATGGAGATAACAAAATGGAACGGTGCTTTTGCTTACAAAATAGTTTCTTCAGACAAAAAAGTAGGAAAGATAACACAAGCAGTAACCCATTCAGGGATTGCCAGGTCAGCGAATGCCCCACATCCTGGAACAAAACTGCGGAGTGTAAGGTCAGAGTCTGTCTCCACTGAAGTAACGTCTCTGCAAACCCGCCCCCTCTCCCGTCGCGACCGCGGTTAATAAGGTTGTGCAATGCTTGAGACAAAGCCAACGGGTAAATAAAAATTTGCTGGAACGCGCCGCATGCAGACGTTTGTAAAGCGTCCCATTTCGAGCTCCATGTTGGGGGTGCCGTCCACAGCATGCATCAACGACGCCTCCACCCACGTTGATAGCACGCATCTAAAAACCAAACAAGAAAGTTGTGCAAGGGCCTCCTTCTTGCGATTGTTGCCCGACTTGGCCCAACCACAGAGTATTTTCCAAGGCGCTTTGCCGGCTTTCCCAGCATTGCGCCTACTTATATTGAAGAGAACAGCACTGTTAGAAACGGTGCTTTCGCGGAACGTTCGCGCTGTATGCTGATCAGCAGTGTTTATCGCACATATGCAAGCAATCGACTGCGATAGGAAAACTTTTCTGTGAGCATTTCTGGCATAAAACATTGAAACTAAATGAGTTTAATGGATCGCTTGTGCAGCCACACTAAATACGTACACAGAAATTTGCGTTTTTTTTTTTAGCTTTTTCTATGCCTTGTGCTAACCCACCAAGACATGGCGCACCCAGCTTTTTTTTTTATGAACTTCAAGCGGCGGGGGTGCGAGCAATGGCTTCTGCTTTTAAGGGGGGAGGCTGGTCTTTAACTTTTGGTTTTTTATTTTTCATTGATAGTGCTGAAATTTAGTGTACTGATGTATTTCTCTGTGGTGATTTCAAATATGCAATTCGTTTTCAGATAGCTTTACTAGATCCTGAGGTATTAATAAATTTGTAATTTTAATTAGGTCCTCCTTACGGGCCGTTACCATAAAATTGTTCAAAATATATCGGAAATGTTTATAGAATTGCATTCACCAAGACATGTTTTGTGCGGTGATGCTATTTTAAAACTGATTTAATATTACATCGGTAAAAAACATTTGCAATCAAGTTGCATAAAACGGGAGGCTATATCTTTTTTGTGACTAATTATTTAAAATTATTGTCAGATATATAAAGCAACAAAAATAGCATCACCGCACAAAACATGTCTTGGGGAATACAATTCTATAAAAATTTCTGATATATTCTGAAAACTCATACACTAACGACCCGTAAGGAGGACTTAATTAAAATTACAAACTTATTCGTAACTCAGGATCTAGTAAAGCTATCTGAAAACTAATTGCATATTTGAAATCATCACAGAGAAATACATCAGTACACCAAATTTCAGCACTATCAATAAAAAATAAAAACCAAAAGTTAAAGACCAGCCTCCCCCCTTAATAGCTATAGTCCTTCATGTCACGATCTTTCTGGAACGTGGACGAAGGGGGCCGAAGCACCTGCCGAGAAGAGACGACACGCAGCCTGGTTGAGGGTGGACGATGTCTGACCGGAGCAGCGTGTGCTCAACGGTGTTTATTGGTGAGGTGAACAATGTTGCCCGCCGAGCCAGGCGGCCGCAGACGGGCGGACTGGAGGGGGGCGCTACCAACTTGTCACACTTCAATATGCTACTGGTCACAAAACTTGAGGCCAAAGTTTAATATACACAAACTCAACTCACGCCGCGGTGGTGGTGCACCGGACGCACTTCCGGTCTGGGGCGGTGGGCAGAAGTCGCCGTGCCAGACATGCATTCCTGTGTTCCCTTGGAAGAAACAAGACGAAAAACCTGCCTTCTCGTCAAAAGCTGCGACGGGGGTTGTACCAAGACAGTCTGGAAAAGTTTGAGGATCAGTTTTCATGTGTTTTTGCCCCCTCCGTTCGTCCGAGAACGTGGATAGTAGCCGTGAAAAGGGCAAACCAGACGCTGTCGAACTAGTTGGTCGTGGTCGAACTACGATTGCGTGCGCGGGCAAAACTTTGTGGTCGCCAGATGTATTTGCTTTGTTCCAACATAAACGAGAGAAAACCGCCAAGTTGTCCGAACCACCCACGGGTTCAGTGCGTCTTCAAATTCACACGGCCGCCTGATCGTTCGAACTTTCGTCTGCTCTTTCAAACGTCTGCTTTTTGTCGTTTGCTCCTTCAAACAAAAGCGGCCCCTACACCAAACTTCGACCCGGTGATTGCAATAAGAAGTAATTGCAGGCCTCAAAAGACTTAAGTAGGCTCGGTGTAAACAGTAGATACAAGATGTTCATCATTGGTACCGGTGGCCATCACCGACTTGTTACGCTTGGTCTGTTCCCGCTTCCGATTTTCAGTATCGACGTCGATCATCGCCGCTACCTTCTACACTTTTGCAACACGAGCGATGTCGCTACCGAAAATAGCTGGAAGAATCTCATCATGGTTTGGGCGTCCATTCTGCGGCGTTCATGCGAATGAATCGCCGCACGTCAAATTATTTATGGAAAGTTTAGGGGCGTAACGAGCCTTGATAATTTCGCTTAGGCGGTTAAAGTGGCAAGAGATTGCGATGAGGACGTAGAATCGACAATTCCAATGCGAAAAGGAGTATGCAGACTCACAGAGACGCCGACAACGTGACATTCGAGTGGTTTGTTGACACGGGACGCGGTGCTTGTTGCCCGTACCCCATTACGCATGCGTTCGAACTGTCGTCTGCTCTTTCAAACTTGGCTGCTTTTTGTCGTCAGCTCGTTCAAACGACAGCGGCCCGTAAACCAAACGTTGACCCGGTAATTGCGATAAGAAGTAAGTGCAGGCCTCAAAACACTTTTGAAGGTTGGTTGGGGTAAGTAGGCTAAGTGTAAACAGATACAAGATGTTTATCATTATTGTTACCGGTGGCCATCACCGACTTGTATTGCCCGATTCTACTTGCGGTTTTCAGTATCGACGTCCACCATCTCAGCTACGGTCCACGCTTTTGAAGTCCGAGCAACGTCGCGTCTGAAAACAGCGAGCAGAATCTCATCGTGGGAGTCAGGCTTTAGCGCCCATTCTGCGGCGTCCACGTGAAATGAATCGCCGCACGTCACATTATTCACGCAAAGTTTTGCCTCGTTAGTTTTGCTGAAGCCGCTCAAGTAGTCAGACATTGTTAGGAGGACGCAGCATCAACAATTCCAACGCAAAAAAGAGCACGGGGACTCCCACCGACGCCGACAACAATGCAATTCAATGGTTTGTTTATGGGCGACGGCGGGCTTCTTGCCCACCATCCACCGCGCATGCGCGGCGCCGGTGGCGTCCGCTAGGGGCGCTCCGGTTTGTAAACATGAGTTGGTGTATAGGGCCATAAAACTGCCACCAGGAGTGCCACTGTCCCGGACGCTTTCATTTGGCCACCCCACCCTCGGTGAGCCACCCCAAATTTTTGATTCCGAGTAGTCTTAAAAAATGTTTTCTCGTACACAGACTTTTCTTATGCCCATTATTGATCATGTTATGCGAGCACCGGTCATTCTTTATTGATGTCTAATAACAAAATTTAGAAATAGGCTTTTTTCCTTTCAAAACAAAAGGCGTTTTCTTCCGAGCAAAGGAGAGCCAGATTGTCGAGCGTATCGGCTTGCAGTGCCTGTGCTCAACAACGCTATTTCCAGTGCTGAAGTTTGATGGCGATAGTGGCATTGAGGATTCATTTTGAGGCAAAAAGAATGATCTCAGAGAATGTTGCAAAAGTTTCAGTTGACCAAGGTAGAGCCGAAGACACGTTAATGAGAAATGCCGTTCAACGCATCATTACGATCTATTGGTGGCTCGTTTGGAGTGGGCTCGAAATTTTGCCACCACCTTTCGATTGCCATATTGCCAGACTCCCAGTAGCACCGGCTAGATTGGCGGCGCCCCCTCGTCAAGGGCGGGTGGTGCCGCGCATGGTTGCGTACCAAGTATGTGCTACGGACAAGTTGCGTGACCGGTAGTGTATCGAAGGACTCTGGTGATACACTTCATAGTTGAGAAAAGTATTTTATGAACCACACTGAAATGCGTCGCGTGGGCAGTTCTCCCGTAATGTTTATGGTATTTGGGAAATGAAAACCCGGGATGTGACACTGCGGCCTCTGGTTCGTCCCACAGATGCACAGGCTGGACGGCATGACGATCGACGAGTTCACGAAGGAGGACAACCTGTCGTGGACGCCGCTTCTCGAATGCCGCCCGGACAACCTGCAGTGATTTTTGCAGATATCGGCCTATGCACGAATAGATTAACTAGAGACCGATCTATGTTAAAGGGACAATGAAGGCAATTTCGCGCATCTTTTTGGCGATTGAACTGGGTTCCAGGCACGTCTCATGTCACGCTGCCCAAATTTCAGCCGAAACCGGCCCTTCTATGCCGCGCAAATCAATTGAACAGTCGCGGTAATAATCGTACCGGGATCGACTGGAGCGACGCCCCGAGAGTTGCGGGAGAAGCCAGGAGAAGCGGAGCTCACGTGACCGATGCGGGGCCAAGGAGCGCGACGTCACAAGAGACACGTCAGCGATTGGTCAAAACGAGAAACGTGCCCTCGGTCACGTTTTGGTTCGCGATTTTTTAGGAATACTGTTCTAATTTCCGCTTGAATAACCATGAAAAGTATAAATCGGACCAAAAATGATTACTAAACCGTAAATAAAGCAGCATAATTGTTTTTTGCTTTGCTACGCTGGACGCAAAGCGGGCAACGAACAACTATGGGCAAACAAAATAAAATTAGAAAGAACACGGTACTGGAAGTATCCTGCAAAATGGTAGTTGTAGATGGCTGTTCCAACGGTCGACTGAAGACCAGTATTCGTTCGGGCGACGCTAGTTTTGTGTTCTTTGACGGCGAAAAGAGGACATCCGCGGAGAAACCGGATCCCGGAAGGACCGGATCGCTGCCGCTTTCCCCTCCGCATCTCCCCCGCGTCCGTCCTTCGGCATGCGGGCTGCCGGCCGGGCGGTCTCCGTCGGGTGATGGCAGTGGCCGCCACGCACATACTCCCGTTCCATTGGTGTTCGGTCACTGAACGGAAGCTCGAACTCGCTCGCGAAAGCGGCGTTGCCGTCGATGTTGACAGATTCGGCGAAACGACCGCCCCACCGCACTGCTATAACCCACCGCGGTAACCAGAGTCTCGATCTCCTAAATACCACCGATACCGACTATTCACACTTGACGTCACTCCCTGCGTCACCTCCGTTTTCGGAGGCCCAGAAACGAGAATGGAGATTGTTCAGTTTCGGTCTCTTTACTTCTTCCGTAGGCACAAAAATACGCGTCACAAATGTCTACAAAAAATTGGGCAGCATGCTATGTTCCCAAGAAGCATAAAAACACCATTTAAAAAAATTTAATAAAATCGTCTTCATTGTCTTTTTAAAAAAGAAAAAGCTGTCTTAGAGCTTGGTTTTGAAAATAAATTTACTGTTGAGTTGCACACACTGTGTTTGTCGTTAAACAACAACCTCTGGTGGAATGGCTGGAAAACAGGATTTCTTTTAACACAATGTGTGTCATCGGCCAAATTCTAGAACACGTTATACGAAGGACTGCGACGTTGGCAGAGGTTGCCGTCAAGTCACTTAAAAGTGTGAAGTTGTGTGTGGGGAGGTGTTTGTACGACTGGCTTTGTACGTCGTCCCGACGCGACATCGTGTCGCGTCACCATGCGACGTCCCAGTCACGTGATCTTGCACGCAGATATGTGCCGTGCTCATCTGCAACCCCCCCTCTCGTGCTTCCCGGCCTTGGTTGAGACAGTGCCACTCTTATTTGCGCTTGCAGACCCCTGCGTTGATTAAACAATCTTGAACATCCAAATACAGGTGACATTGTGAGGAAAAACCGTGCTGTAGGGAAGCATGACCCTAGATTGCCCGATGTAGCGCCACCAGGGCTCCCGCGTTAATTGTGCTCCATTCAAAAGGAAATGCCCGAGAGCAATAATCCTCACGAAGCAATCCTTACACTTGGTAGAAAAGAGGCAGTTACTTTCAATTACTTGCGTCTCCAGTAAAAATGCTCGATGTCCACAAGGACCTAAGAAATTGGCGGTTCCTGTCTGTCTGTCTGAAATCCATGCAACAAAAAAACAAGTCCATTATACGGTCGAGACCGGTTATAAAGAGGTCAACGCGAATAGGAAATCACTTCACTATATCTGCCATATTTCGTTATAACCAACTTCGGTTATAAGGAAGTGCAAAAGGGAATGGGAAATCGTTTCGCTGTAGCCACTATTTCGTTATGACCAACTTAGTTGTAACTGGTCTTGACAGTGGTTGTAAAAGCCAGACCGGACTCATTTCTGTGGGCACAACATACACACCATATCTGGCTTTTACAAGAAAAAAAACAACAAAAAAGTGATGCAGGCAGTATATATGCGAGAACTAGTTTTATAAATATTTACTAGCATCACGACCAGACAATGGCTGCACCAAAAATATTGATTGGTGACAGACATGAAACCAGTACAGTTTCTGGAGCAGTCTCAACCAAAAATATACATAAGCGGGAAAACCAACGAATGCTTCAAGACACAAGTCGTTGCACAGCGACATTCACACGACAGTAGAAACAGCCAGCACACAACTCACCTTCATCAGCTTTCACATGATGCCACGGACAGCTAGAACATAAATCGCTTAATGTCAATGTTCAATGTGCGACTTTGGAAAGCCGAAACATTTACGCGAACGTACGGATTCCCAGACTGCGTCGCTTCACACCATCGTTCCCGCAAAACCACGGCCATCGGAAACTTAAGTCACTTTACGGCGAGGGTCACGCGAAACTGCAGACGGCCGAAATCGGAATCACCGATTTGCGGCGGCGACGTTGAGGTGAAACTCGTCGCGGTCGAAGACGAGCCTGCGGGGCTCGGCGAGGGGCCTCCAGTCGACCCGGTGCACCATGTCGAAGAAGCCAGTGCCGATGCCCATGGGCACGCCGAGGATGATGCTCTCGCTGACGCCAGTGATCTCGTCCACCTGGCCGTAGTAGGCGGCGTCAAAGAGGTGGTCGGCGGTGCGCTCGAAGGAGGCCAGCATGAGGGCGCTCTCCTTCATGCGGGCCAGGCCGTGGCGGGTGATGCCCAGCACCTCCCCGCGGAAGGTCATCAGGTCGGCCAGCAGCATGAGGTGGCGCCGGTCCACGCTGATGCCGTGGCTCTCCATGGTCACGCCGATCTCGCGGATGATGGTGGCCCGGGCCGCCTCGATGCCCAGGCACTTCTCCACCTCGGACGTGTTGTTGGACGAGGTGCGCGTGCCCAGCACCCCATAGGTGGCCATCACCTCCCGCAGGCCGTCCCCTTCCACCAGCAGCCGGTAGGTGGTCGTCGGGCCCTGGGTGGGGAGATGGGTGTCCAGCCTCGTTGGGTTTGCCTAGGTTCTAAACGCCCGGCATGAAAAGCACCAGCCTCGGGGATTTTGTGTCAGCGGCATGGAGCCTCAATGCCCAAGGAATGTCGCATGATGGTCGCGGGAAAGTTTCACGCGCTTCATATGGAGCGTTTATTTTTAAGCTTAAAGGGCAACTCCAGTTAATTCGGAAATGTCTAGGATTATGGGCGATTATCGTGTCGAAACTACTAATAAACGGATATGTCATTCGTTTTCTGAAATGTTCAACAGTCTTCTTGCAAACGTGAATTAAAGGAAAATCCCAAAGAGAAACGAAACCTTGCTTGCGGCAGACAACATTGGTCCTGCTTGTAACTATTGGCCATCACGAGGTAAGGAGACGTCTGCTATGTCGTCAACGAAAGCGGCAGACGGTGTTGTTGGCCCGAATTGGCGCGTTGCACACTCTTAGTTCCTTCATTTTTGAAGCACGGAGCGCGAGGACGAGAGAGAAAACTAAAATTCTTTCAGTTGCTGATGTTCTGCGTAGTGTTGGCTATGTCCACACAGCAACACTGATTGCGCTGCTCCGCGCGTCGCCCGCTAGATTGGCCGGATTTTGGTGACCGTGGAGTTGTTCCGACTTCTTTGGCCGGTTTAATGAACTTTCTGGCAGAATTGCATCGTAATATTCTAAGTGTAGGCGCTTCAGACGATACAGTCTAAGCTCATTACAACAGACTTTTGGATATAACGTACAAATTTGTGAAGGTCGGTTGGTTTTCGTCTGCATACCATTGACTCAACTTCATATCTGTATACAACATACTCCTTTTACGACAGACCACAATCTTGGTCAAAATCAAGGTCTGTTATAACACTGCACGATGTAGGACTGCGTCGTGCGTCGAAATTTTGCCCTTAAGAGATAGGTTTGAAAAAAGCCGTGAAAGGCTACGCTAGAGATAGGTTTGAAAAAAGCCGTGAAAGGCTACGCTAATGTGGCTTGTGCGGGTGAGTTATACGGCCAGAGGCACCTAGTATAGGGGGCTGATCGTCGCAGTCGGTCGGCTACTTAACTGAAATTGTTGATTAACGTTTTAACTATTGAAACACATGGTTCCATTTGGAAACGTCCCGAGTGTCATTGAAAACCACCAAAATCAGTCGATAGTAGAAGGACTTCTGTGGGAAGCATGGAGCACTAAAGTCAGGCAGCAGGGGTGAGGCTGCCAATGCACACCCACGCGGTCTTCTCGTCTCTTTTTTTAGCCCCAGCCTCGTGCCTGTTTTGCATGAGCGGAAACTTGAGCGTACTACTGTGCTTCCCGCATGCTCAGTCTCTAAATTTTACTGATTCAGTGGTGTTCGATGATGCTCAGCAAGCTTTTCACTGGAACCATGTCTCGTTTCACTAATTAGAAAGCGAATCAACAAACTTTGCTTCATTATTCAACTTGTCTCGACGACTAACCCCCAATACTACATCCTCCTGGCCGTTTAAGTTGCCTGCACAACGCAGCTTTTTTTTTTTTTTTTTTAACAAACCTGTTACTTAAAAAGCCACTGAATGGAAAAAAAAAATTAAATAGTCTGATTGGGACATGCGTGTCCAAAAATTAATTTTACGCGAAAAAAAAAGAAAATTAAATATTGATGGTGCAATTGTTTTAAATAATAAAAAGAAATATGATTTTGATATGTCAGTGCCCCTCTAAGGGGGACACTGGCTAGAGGTTGAACTACTCCAGTGATTGGAATGAAATTAGCAGGGGAGATTTAACGTCACATGTCGGTGCAAACTTTTAACATGTCGGTGCAAACTTTTAGCTCTTTAGGACAACTTTCCATACGAGAAGATGTGTCACTCTGTTAAGAAATCTATGATACGCAAAGGAAGCTATTGAGCACCATTTTGACTGCTTGAATATAAAGTGGGGGACGTGGGACTTGGGGCCATCTAGTTTTTATAACTCAAATGCAAGGATTTGAAGAGTTATTACCTCGAAATATAAGATGCATATCTGCCCTATGTCAATTTTTGAAAACACAATTCTTTCTCAATGAGGACTTCAATTTAAAACAAAATCAAGTAGATAGCCTGATTCCCCAGTAAATGTCAGCTCAGAGATACATCTTGATTGTGGTATCAGAATACTTTTACCTTGGAACAAAAGATTCCTCCGCACAAAATTTGCAGCAAAAAGTGCAACTGAGAAAAATGCATTCAAACATTGAACTCGTTTACTTTGCTACTGCCTCACAATGTGTTGAAAATATCTTATATCAACGTAACTATTTGGCACATGTTTATGAGATTTAGTGTAAGGGTGCATAATTAGTTTTTAAAACCGAAAACGTCAATACTAAAAAAAGAAAAAAAAAATTGAATTTATGTTTATGTCCTTTCTTAAACCATGACTGAAATCACAATTGAAATGGTAATTTAAATCAAACCAGTTTTACTAGGATGATTTAAATCCAACCTTTCCTGCAAAAATAATGCCGAAAATAGTTTTTATTTACCATATTTTTTTTTAATTTCATGCGCGTTTGTTTTGTACGTACTAAAACCAAAGAATCGTGGGGCAAGAAAGGTTTATATCGAGCTGAACATGAGCACAGAGCAGTTGTTTTTTGAGCAAATCCGAGCATTGCACTTTCTTTCTACCTACTGTTACGTAACATAGTATTGCAAACAAATCAGAACTAAAAAAAAAACCAAAAAAACTAGAAGGTAGTGTTTTATGCAAGCAAATTGGAATGTGAAAGAAAAGCAAATAAAGCTTTTCTCCAACTAAAAAAATTGAGCTGTTTTCATTCTAGTATGGCAAGGTTAACATAAAAGAAGTTGTTAGTTTACCTCAAATTTACGGTAATTGTTTCTTGTGCATTGTTATCACTGATTGGATGGATTGATCAATCAATCTGCCATGTTTAGAAATACAAGTAGTAATATAGTCACTATTTTCTGGCTATAGCGATTTAAATCAAATTAATCCGACTAAAATCCAATGAATCCCGACTTTTTTCTAGCCAGATTGAAAGTGGACCTGACGTAGTGACGGATGATGTCACAGACACCGGTGCGGCATGCTGTTGGACGTCGCATTCCCGGAGGTTGGTTGCGGGAGTCCCAGCAGAAGAGACTATGCGGGCAGAAACTGATGGAGGAAACGAGGCTCCGACTGATTAGTGGGTGCAGGCAGAGCTGGCTTTGTGTCCACCCCACTCATCGAACGCATTCAAACACAAATGCCGGACGCTGGCGTTCTGCATTTCAACGCATTCGACGAGCAGGCAGCAGAACAGCCGTCTGCCACTTGCACGTCTGCTGCTTTGCCACCATAAGGATTGTGGCAGGTAGCGGCACGACGGGAGTCTGCCGTCGTCAGACCGAAGGGGAGGGATCACAAATCGGGACGTAGTAAACACGTCAGACGGAGACGTACTCCAGGCAGAATTTGAGCGACAAAGAGACTGACGCTGGAATGTCTTACACAAAAATCTGTCTGGTTGGGTGGAACTATAGTGATAAAGAGGAAATACTCCGACGAAAGCCCTAATAAAGCGGTCAAGCCGAGCCTCTTTTTGGTAAAAGGCTTTTCCCGGAGTCGTGGCATGTCTAGCACACTCTGAGGAATTTCAACGACTCCCCGGGTGCCCCGACGTCCGTGTCCGCCCAGGCCCTACGCCACCCGGTGACGACGATTCGTCCGAGCCACCTCCGTAGAAGGAGGTTCTCCTTGGCAGACAAAGACAAGAGCCGCTGCCTCCCCGCGCGATTCGGTCGCCTTGGAAAAAGAAACCAAGCGGGGTTCGAAACATAGGGTCACTTTTCTTAGGGCTTCGGTCCGAGTATTTCCCTTCTACCGTAAGAGAGACCGACCGTGTCGTCGGCGTGGATGACGGCCCTGGAGGTGGAGGGGATGCCCTTGATGACCACGCTGGGCAGCTGCTCCTTGAGGGTCTGCAGGGCGTAGTAGAGGGACATCTTGGCCGTCTCGGTGGGACGCACGGTGATCACCGCGGACCCCACCACGCTCAGGTTCTGGCCCTTGATGCGCAGCTTCGAGGTGGCGATGGAGTAGCAGACCTGGGAAGGCACGAAATCGACGGATTTTCCTTTTCCCGCTAAACTTGGCTTCCTTTCGCCAACTCGAGATTGTGAGTGCATTGCCAACTGAGCTATCCCGGGTCGGCAGTTGGAGAACACAAAAGCAAACTCGTGCACGCGGCGCGTGAAGAGGCAGTTGTGCGCTTCGCGGCCTTTCCCCTCGTGCTGCGTCGTCTGCGGCATGCATCGGAATTCAGAGCGAATCTTCGGTGGGCACTACCGTTCACATACCCTTCTCTACTTCCCTGGAAGGCCTATTGCGCATGCTGCGCTTACGAGTCTTTCTCGGCGCGCTAGAGCTTGTATAATTTTACGTGCGCGGCATTTATTCGGCCAGCTCTTTGCAGTTTTCTGTCCAAGGCAGGGATCGTTTAGCCTCGAGAGAGTGTGCTTTGCTAAGAATGCAGTTGCCCATTGCCCGTGGAGCTTGCAACTGACGACTACTCTTGGAGCGGGGACTCTTAGTGCGGCGGCAGAAAAGCGGACTAGACATAATGGCTCTCGCTTGTGGGCTTTGTGGACCACCAAAACGGCGCAACAGGTGCAGCAACGGGGAGGAGGACGCGCGGTCAACTTTGCCCCAAATAACTCGAAGGACAATATTTACGTTGCGAGCCTCCTTTCGAGTCGGGAGTCGGGAGCAATTCGTCAACCTCGAAATATAAGCAGGTTGTGGATTTGCTCAAATGAACTCTGTGACACAAATACTGCAGTAAATGTCGTTTTTTTTTGGGGGGGGAAAGCTTTTTTGTGTGTAAACACACTTAAAAGATACTGCCAGTTTTTTTTATATATCTCAAAGGTACTCTAAATACGTAGCATTTATAAATCCTCTGCGATGTCACGGTTCTACTCAGTGTCGCGGACCATGTGACCACGAGGAAAGTAACCGGTGACAATTTTATGCTACGTGACCACGTAACATCAGTGTTATGCAATGTCGTGGGGTCGTTTGATGGTAACCATGCCGCACGCCGAAGTCGGGTGACACCACGTCTGTGTCCCGTGATGACCGTCGGGCTGATGACGTCGCATGGACGCCGCGACGCCTTCCCTATGTTCATGTAATAATACAGTGAACCTTCCGAAATGCCGAGGACATCACGCGGACACCGTGACATGGTCACGGGCACGAAAGCGCCGAAATTTGGCCCCATGAATGCTACGCATTTGAGGAACATTCTCTGGGAGTCCCCCTAGGGTGGCCGCTCACCGTGTCTGCGTTGACCTCCAGCTGGAGCAGGCGAATTCGATCCAGGTCCAGCTTGATGAGCACAAAGCACTCGTCCGGCAGGAAGACCTCCTCCAGGTACTCTGACACCTCGCCCAGCGTGGTCTTCTCAATGCGCCCCTTGACACGCCGGGCATACTCCGCATCCTGGTTCACTGCCAGGGCCGCCGTGATGATTGGGGTGCTGATGTTCTGCGGGGAGGGGGGGCGAGGACACGCGGAACGGGTCTTCAAGCAGTAACGGGTCTTCAAGCAGTACGTTTAACGTCCTATAGGGTGGTTTTATGAAACGTCACTTCTTGTAAGCCACGTTCCACCGTGTTGATGAACAGCATCTGCTACTTTCCCCCTTTGTTTGCAGGCAGACGACTATAGTCCGTAGCAACTCAAGAAGGTAGGACGAGGGTAGATGGGCTGGGGAGGAAGCAGATGGAATGCTGGAGAAGAGAGGGGGAAACCTCTTCCTTTCTTTAGCGTTCCGTCTGCTTCCCGGCCCGTCTTACCCTCACCCTACCTTCTTGAGTTGCAACGGACTATAGTTACTGACACTGTTTTTGGTGTTGCTGAAAAGCAGAAGCATGGAGAATGGCTCCGTCGATAACAGGCTTCGGCAACTCCGACCAGGGACCCGTGCTTCCTACGCTTTTATCTCTCTCAGTTGTCCCAGTGGCATCTATTGGGGTCCAATATTGGTCACCAAAAAAGCGAGATCTAATTTGTTTCTTACGCAGCGATCCAAGATATTGCCACGCTCGTCGGCGAGCGACTGCGCGCGTGGCCGAGTGGTTACCGTGCTTGACTGTCGCGCAGAAAGTCTGGGTTCGAGTCCAGTTAGTGGAATGCTCTTTTATTTGTTCTTTCATTGCGTTCTCGTGAGTTCGAGAACATTCTCGTCAGATCGAGTTCCGAATGTTCCAGTCGCCGAACAATCTAGCCCGATTGTTCCAGAACCCAACGCGCGTACATAAGGGACTCCGCGTGCTGATCTGCAGTCAGTTTTCGCCCAGCGTTCGACTCTGCTGTCACGCCGACTTCGACGCCCGCGACGCTCTGTTATTACCTTTTGTACCCTTTTTATTTTTGGCACAAGTTCGCCACATTAAACGTTTATTTCTTCTTGTTTATTTATTGTTCTTGGTCACTACCCGTGACATTTTGGTGGAGGCGCTGGGTACCGCATGCCCGTGCAGCGTTCTCCTCCCAGGACCCGCAGTGCAAGCCCGACTCCAAGCTCGCTGAGAAGACCACTCAGCGCGGAACCTGAAACTCGGACCAGCCGCCGCACCAAGGGAGAGGATCCGGAGTACGGTTTGCTGCTGGACAAACCCAAGCCGAAGAAGACGACGATGGACAACCAGTCGCAGGCCCCCACCGCTCCTGCCGTCGTCTACCTACCCGTCGCTCCTCGGACACCGGCTCCCTTCCACGGCGAAAGCCACGAAGACATCGACGACTGGGTCCAACAGTACGAACGAGTGGCCCGTCATAACGGATGGACACCGGAACAGTGTCTGCAAAGCGCTTACTTCGCCTTGGAAGCCACCGCCCGGAACTGGTTCGAGAACCACGAAGCTTCGATCACTTCCTGGGAGCAACTCAAGGCTGAGTTGCGAAGAACGTTCATGAGCCAACACCGAAGAGAACGCGCGGAAGAGCTTCATCAAGCGAGGATTCAAGGCCCTAACGAGAGCATCGTTAGCTTCATGGAAGATGTCCTGCGACTGAGCAACCGCGCCGATCCCGAAGCATCCGAAGCAAAGAAGCTCAGAGTCTTGATGCGTGGCGTCAAGGAAAGCATTTTCGGTGGTCTTGTGCGGAGCCCGCCTACCACCGTCGAAGGCTTCATGACGGAGGCCACCAACATCGAACGTGCCCTTCTAGCACGAGCCACCCACTATCACCGAGTTCCCGGCGTCGGTTCCTTTTCGCCTTCCGGCTGCAACACCACGGACATCCGCGAGATGATCCGAGACGTCGTCCGGGAAGAGATCAAGAAACTTCTACCTGCCGCCGCAAGCCCAGCTTCGCCCTCAATCGCCGAGATTGTCAGGGAAGAAGTCCAGCAAGCGCTGCAGCCTGAGGTTCTCGTCAGCACCGCTCCGGAACCACCGACGTTGAGTTACGCCGCAGTGGCCCGACGGCCACCGCCTCCTCGTCGCACCTATGTCACGCCGCCCCGACGTCAGTCTCCTGCGCCGCAGCACGACCGACGCCACAACGACCAGGTCCAGTACGCCTGCCCGGAGCCTCGCGCACCCCGCAAGACCGACGTGTGGCGAACGCCCGACCGACGCCCTCTGTGCTTTCATTGCGGGGAAGCGGACCACACCTACCGCCGATGCCCATACCGACGACTCGGGCTACGCGGGTTCCACCCGAACGACCCGCGCCCCCGTCATGGTGAACGCCCTATCGAGATCGACGAGTACCTGCGACGACCTCAGTCCCCCGAGCCTGCGTCCCGCCGAGAGTTCCGGTCGCCGTCACCGCGACGTCCAGCTTCGCCGATGCACCGACCACGACGTGAAAGCCTGTCCCCCCTTGCTCCTCGCCGGGGAAACTAGGCGCGGCAACCCCTGGAGGTGGAGTTGCCGAAGACGACCGACGCCAAGATCCTCCACGAACATCGGGGGACCCCCACTCGAACGCTACCAGAGACCAAAACGACGCCGCTGCAGTGGTGTCCAATAACCTAAGCGTCGTCATCGACGGCCACGACGCATCTGCACTCGTGGACACCGGAGCAGACTACTCAGTCTTGAGTGGGAGGCTCTCCCGCCGCCTTCGAAAAGTCACGACGCCGTGGGATGGACCTCAAATACGGACCGCCGGAGGGCACCTCATCACACCCATCGGGAGATGCACTGCTCGCGTCGAAATCCGCGGTGAAACGTGCCCTGTGAAGTTCATCGTTCTACAAGACTGTTCCAGAGACGTTATTCTCGGCATGGACTTTCTGTGTGAATACGGTGCCGTCATCGACCTTGGTGAGAACAGATTGACGCTGCACAAGCCTGTTCCGTCTTCAGAGAAACCTCAAACAGCGTCAGCCGCCGTCCGAGTCACTGCCGACCACGTGAACCTGCCGCCGCGATCAAGTGTTGTCGTACCCGTAGTGGCCGATGTAGCTACTTGCGGCGAAGTTGTTCTTGAAGGCAAGTTTCAATTACTCCTAGAAAGAGGAATAGGCGTCGCAAGAGGAGTGGCTGAACTTCAGAATGGGCGGACTGTGGCCCTCGTGACGAACTTCCGAAACGAAACGCAACACCTCACGAAAGGTGCAGCCGTGGGCCACGTCGAGCAACTCCGAAACCCCGCCGAAATCACCGCGATTACTGACGAATCCTCGCCGCCTCAGCAACACATTACGGCGCCAGTGCAGCTCGACATTGACCCCAAGCTTCCAGGCCCGAAACGACGGCAGCTAAGTGACCTTCTCGCCGAATACAGTGACTGCTTCGCGACGTCGTCGAGGGTGCGCCAAACCACCATTGCGAAACACCGCATCGTTACCGAGGACGACGCGTGCCCTGTGCATCGATCGCCGTACAGAGTCTCCGTTAAAGAAAGGGAGGTGATCCAGGAGCAAGTGCAAGAGATGCTGAACGACGACATAATCCAACCCTCAAGCAGTCCGTGGGCCTCTCCAGTTGTACTGGTTAAGAAGAAGGACGGAACGCTTAGATTCTGCGTGGACTACCGGCAGCTGAACACAGTGACGAAGAAAGACGTCTATCCACTCCCCCGCATCGACGACACGTTAGACCGGCTGCGCCACTCCCGATACTTTTCATCCATGGACCTGAAGAGCGGCTACTGGCAGATCGAAGTCGACGAACGGGACCGAGAGAAAACAGCTTTCGTCACGCCAGATGGGCTGTACGAGTTCAAGGTGATGCCCTTCGGACTGTGCACGGCTCCAGCAACTTTCCAGCGTGTCATGGACACCGTACTGGCAGGACTGAAGTGGCAGAGCTGTCTCGTCTACCTCGATGACGTCGTAGTGTTTTCCAGCGACTTCGACGAGCACTTGCGACGACTCCGAGCAGTTCTCCAAGCCATACGGACCGCCGGACTCACCCTGAAGCCGTCAAAGTGTCGGTTCGCCTATGACGAACTGAAGTTCCTAGGTCACGTGGTTAGTAACAAAGGCGTTCGCCCCGACCCAGAGAAGACTCGCGCCGTCGCAGCATTTCCAGTACCGACAGACAAGAAGGCCGTGCGAAGGTTTCTTGGACTATGTGCCTACTATCGGCGCTTCATCCGGGATTTTGCAAGGATTTCCGCACCACTCACAAACCTCACAAAGGACGCCGAGAAGTTCGAATGGGCCGAGAAGCAGCAGCAGGCATTCGACGAGCTGAAGCGACGACTGCAGACTCCTCCTGTTCTAGGACATTTCGATCAAGATGCGGAAACCGAAATTCACACGGACGCAAGTAACGCTGGACTTGGCGCGGTACTGGTTCAAGTGCAAGACGGCACCGAGCGAGTTATCGCCTACGCAAGTCGGACATTGTCCAAGGCGGAGAAAAATTACTCCACGACTGAGAAAGAATGCCTTGCTGTCGTCTGGGCAATCACGAAGTTTCGTCCGTATTTGTACGGGAGCCCGTTCCGTGTAGTCACGGACCACCACTCGCTCTGCTGGCTTGCGAACCTCAAGGACCCGTCAGGACGCCTCGCTCGATGGAGTCTACGACTACAAGAGTTCAACATGACTGTGGTCTACAAGTCAGGCCGCGAGCACAGCGACGCCGACTGCCTGTCCAGAGCCCCCATCGAAACACCTTCCGGCAGTAGCAACGACGAAGACGACGAGTGCTTCCTAGGTGCAGTGAACACCGACGACATGTCATGATGTCAAAGAGACGATCCTGAGTTGCACGCACTAATCGAGCACCTCGAAGGACGAGGGGGTACTGTCCCCCGTGTCTTCTCGAGAGCCCTGCCGACTTTCGTCCTCCGACAAGGTGTACTTTACAAGGAGAACTTCGGAGACAACAGCACACCATGGCTGCTGGTAATCCCCACCGACCTTAGAGCGGAGATCTTTCAAGCCTGTCACGACGACCCGACGTCCGGACACCTTGGTTACAGCCGCACGCTGGCCCGAATTCGTGAAAGGTATTACTGGCCCAAGCTGCCGAAGACCGTTCACTTCTACACACGGTCCTGCCACGAGTGCCAGC